AATAAGGCAGTTTTTTCTGCAGTTGGATCACAGTTACGCTGTGCTGTAAATCTTATATGGAACATTTCAGTCTTGGGGAATCAATCCCCAAGTTAAATCTTTAGGAAAGATACGAAGGAAATTTTTACAGTGCTGTTATTTAATGACATGGAAGATAATAGAGGGTTTCCAATGCTTGTAAAGAACATAGAACAATGCAGGGGTACCGCTGCTTCCGCGTATTGCTGCACTCTGGTATAGCTGGTATTTTAAAACAACAAAATAAATGAATAATTAAAGGTTGGAATTTAAAAGAGCGCCACCTGGCAATAGACTGCATTATGAGAAGAACACTGCTGCCTCTTAGTTCCTTCCTGGATAAATGCTTTTTACTAACAGGTAAAAAGCACTTTTAAGAATTACTTTTGGTACTATTTAGGCAGAAAAATCCAAAGAAATTAATTAGCCTCTGTTAAAATTGTGGGGTTGAGCACTTCAATAATACCAACCTGTCATCACATCTTTATTAAAGTCCATTCTTAGTAGAACAATAATGAATAAGTGGTGCGTTTTCACATAAAAAAAATTAAAATGAAATAAAAAGTCTTTAGACAACTCGTAGACTTTGATGACTCAGATAATTGCAAGGAGATGTAAGCTTTTATTTATAAATAGGGTAATCCTATCATGGCTCAAAGTTTGTTGAAGAGTGTCTTTTGATAAAAAATTGCAGCTGGGGGCTGGGCTTTTATCATATTGTTCATCATTATCAGAAAAAACTCCTAGTCAGGATGATCATTTTGATATGTAATCTAAATTACAATTTTGAATTAGGTTTAAAAAAAGAAAAAAAAAGTTTTGTGAATTGTGACAACTTTAAATTTTAGTTTTTTTCCCTAATAAAGTTGACAAATTCAAAGACCAAGATCAAATTTGGTTAATAATGCATGTTTAGTGATATTAATCATGCTTTGTATGTAACTGGTGTCCTGAAGAAGCTGTTTTTAAATGTAGATATTTTTTTACAGAAATATTGTTGATTATGTGGCTGTGATTGATGCAGCATGTAGTTAAAGCCATACATTTAGCTAACAAAGTCTGTAAAGCAGTAATGAAGTTTTTCTTTTATTCTAAGTTATCATACTAATACCACAAAATACTGTAATCAGATTTTTGGTCTATATTTCCCAGCCCTAACTGCAACACACTTTTTTTTTAATCTCTAACAAATTTTGGAGGTAGAAAAAACAAAACAAAACAGAAATCAGTAATTCAGGACCCCAAATGCAAAGCAGAATTTAGTGCAATCCAGCGTCATCACGCACATAATGAGTTATTTTGAAGCATTAGGAACAATAAACATGGTGCAACCTCTATTACAGTATAGGAATCTCTGACTGCCACATTCCTACTACACACACACACACACACACACACACACACACACTATTCCCATTCAAAACAATTTAAATGGCTTAATGCCATCCAAAAAGCTGAATTTGTTCAAATCAACACAAAATGCACAGAGTCCCCATCATCCTCCCAATAGAAATAACTTTCTAAAAGAAATTAACCTCAAACACTGCATTTTAGATCTTTTTATTTGATAATTTTGTTACTTATGCAGGAGTCATTTGGTCCCACTTACAACCGATTTTTTTTTTTTTAACAGATGCACACACATACAGTTTATTTAGCCTCAGATTACTAAGTGCTTTCTATACTGAGCAGATAATTGCAGTACAAAGCATTACCAGGCAAGCAGTACTTCCTGACTGGCTACATTTAAAGAAGAGTAAACAGCGTAGATGAAGTGTGGAAGAGTTATATTAGTGAAAGGAGTGGATAAAATATGTTTCCTGTTTAGCCTGACTAGATGATTGTCATTACTCTGCAGAGTTCCTGAGGGTCCTTCAACACCATCTTTCCCATGAATATTATACATTTCAATGTTAACATAAACCCCTCAGCAGAGAGGGATCAAACATATTCTACCACAAAGAAATGCACAACTGTTCAATGTTAGCATATGTGAAATCATCAGGTGGATGCACATCTTTATAACATCAGAATAACCCTGTACAGAAAAGTTAAATTTGGGATTACTGATTCATTCTCCTGTTTTCATAGTAAAAATATCTTAACTTCTTTTTGTTTGGATCAGAGTGCCTGGGAAGACACACCTTTCTGTTCCAGTGTTTGCTCGGCTGGATGAGCGTCCATGATTATAACTCCACTAAATTTTGTAACAAGGATGGCAATGGAGGCAAAGAATAAAGCAAAATTGCTGCTAAGGAATTGCATCAGAGAGTGGAGATCTTGAGGAGGGGTCACTAAGCTGCCAAAATAACCATGATAAGCTAAATACACAGGTTTGATGGCAGAAAAATCTCCTTTATGCCACAGCATCAAAAACAAAGCATGTAGACTTTTCTAGAGTCTACAGGGCTGGATGGCGAACAAAAGTTTTTGTTGGACGTTGAGAATATGGATCAAACGAGAGGGAAAGCAAATCATGCTAGAAGTTAGGTACAGTGGGCGTTTATGGTGTTTGTTTTTTCTTAAGAGTGCCAGGATTATGAATCAGATTTTTTTTAGTCTGAAAGAAATGGTCAAATCAACAAAAAGATGTTTCACAAGATCTAACAAAAAAAAACAACAACAAATTTTAAGTTCACAAAACTAAATTGTGTAGAAAACCTGCAGAGGGATTTGTTATGTGGAGAACATAAAGACAACCAAGAACTAAGTGCTGCAATGTTGTCATCAGTGGGTTCCCAAAAATATTAACTTCCTTTAAAAGTATTAATCTTTTATTAGCAATTTTGTTACTTTGAATAAATGCTCTGGAATTGTATGAAGGTTTTCTTTATGCTTCTAACTGGCCTTTAACAGGGAGGCTAGTAAACATGGAGGGTGTCAAATGTTTCACTAAAACAGAACACATTTTATTAGTTTTAAATCATGTAAACCTTTTTGTGTTGTTTTTGACACTCAGGTGTTTTAATTCCTCCTCCATGTATTTTGAACAGGTGCTCTAGCTTTATTGAGCTGTGATTTGGGGGTTAATGAGGCCACCTGAGGGACTAAGCAACTGACTGCTGGCAATAAAAGCAGGTGTGAGAAAATATTTTTGTCTTTTTCCATCTAAGATCTTTTTCCCCAACGCTCTCAACTATCTTCGCTCATTTATTGTTCCTACAAGAGTTTCTTGTCCTGCTGTACAAAGAGACTCCAGGTCAAAACATGGGGTAAAAGGGCATGAGACGGCAAAGCGTACTGCACAGCTGTACTCCAGTTTCTCCCATATAGGCGGATGAGGGGTGAGGCTAGAGGGTGGGAGGAGGAGAAGGAGAGGAAGGAATGGGAGAGAGAGGAAGCCCAAAAAAGGTACAAGGATGTTTCATTTTGGTTTCAGCAACCATGTCTGCAAGAATCAACATACATGCTGACTGGTTTCTACTGGAAACAGTGGTTTTATGTTCTCAAAGAACATCCAAGCTAAGTTGGGTAAACAAAAAATAAGGAAATAAAGAGTATTCTTCAAACGGTAGAGTGGTAGAGACAGAATTTGAATACACAGAAAGGCTGGTTTTATCTCAGTATGATTGACAGATATTCTTAATTTTAAGAAAATCACTAAATATTGGCCGATCTGCCTAGTCAAGTTCTGTGACTGGGGATAGAGGAGTGAGGTCATCTCTGGAGGAGGGTGGATGATAGGCTGCGAGCTCAGTCAGAGGAGAGACCAGATGTTGGGGCATCTTGGCTACCCTCTACTTCCACGGCAGCGGGTGAGGGTGGGGGTGAGGGAGGGGAGGCGGTCTCCTCCTCTCCGTTGTCATCAGAGCTCCTCCTGGCTCCCTCGACAGCGCCCTCCCCTCTGAGATGGTAGGCTGCCAGAGATTCCTCCAGCACTGTGCGATACTGCCCCCGGTGGTGCAGACGGAACTGCCGCAGAGCCTCCATCAGATGAGCTGCCGTGCCGCCACCTCCCTCCTCATTCTCCTCATCATCCTCCTCCTCCTCCTCTCCTCCCCCCTGAGGTGACACGCCAGGGTAAGACACTGCAGATAGCCTCTATGTTCAAACACATACGAGCATCCATCCAATAAGCAGCCACACAACATCTGCCAGAGAGGTTATTCATTTTCACTGTGCTGTGTAACAAACTCAAGGAAAAGTGGAAGCTGATATGTTGAACTGATGCTGATTTATAAGCTGGAAGAGAGAATTTTAACCAATGGTTGCCTTCAAAATGAAAATAAGTTATTGTAGAGTTTCCCAACAGCGGTTTTACAAGTCCATCTAAATATCATTAAATTAATGTAAGTAAATAAATGTAAAATTGAATTATTCATTTTAATACAAATGTTTATTAAGAAACTGGCTGTTCGCAGAATGCTGTATTGAAGGATCAAAATGGAAGATTAAATGGAAGGAAAAACTCTGATAGAAGAATGAGCAGAGGCAGGAAAGTCAAGAGTGGATGAGCACAGAAAATAAGTTCATTTTAGTCCAATATAAAGTTTTCATAGTTCGTGATGATTTGGGGAGAATTTTCACTTCCTGCTATGAGGTTGATTGGATTAATATATGCTAAAAAAAAAAAATCGGTTTAGAAGTCTAGAAGGAAACAAAAGAAATTGACCCTCCCCTCTGCTGAAATTCTGTCATAAGTACCAATAACCTGCTTTAAGATGATGTGCTTGCTTAGACGTACATGCCTCGGTTTAAACATAATCTGTTGCTTAAGATGTTGGTTAGATGTCGGCGCAGTAATTGACGCAAAATGAGCCTCCACCAAGCAGAGCACATAAATGTTTGCGGATCTGAATTCAGTGAATTAACGGAATATTTTATAAGCCATATTTTCCAATGGTACTGATCAGCTGACTATTGATGCTTTGTGTTCAGCCCTAATGCATTTGAATTAGATGAAAATGTAAACATTAAATACAATCTGCATCTAAATGTATAGCTGGACTGTAAATATATGATATAATTGTGTTTTTTTTTTTTTTGTCTGGCATTTAGAATGTTGTTGAATTTTATCAAGCAAACAAACAAAAAAAAAAAAACAGGAAACGTGTGCAAATACAACAGCTAGTGGCCTACTAGGGTGTGCAATCTATATCTGCAAGAGGAAACTATTTCCCAACACCTACAGAAGAAAGAGTTTGTAATCCTCACAAGAAACATGAATTTAAACTGTTTTAAAACAAATAAAATTAAATAAATTTAATTAATTTTATTTTTTACTATTCAACTTTTTTTTTTTAATATATCACTAGAAACTAGCAGTGTAATGCTTAAAAAATGATTAAAATGTTTATATTTGTTGGTCGACTTCACCTTAAAAAAAAAAAAGGCTTGATTAAAAAAAAATGTTATCTTGTTAGTTAGGTTATAAAATAAAACCACCTAAAAATGGTAAATGTTAGTTTTTATGAATTTTTAAATAAGTCTTTCTCTTCTGTATGTTATGGTGTCACCTTTTAAAGAGGCACGGATTTCGCACTTAGTTCTGCACATAAACATCCTGCGTTTGTTTGGCTACACTGAGCAGAAACGGTTGCACTGGATGTTTTTATTGGTGGCGTTTCATCCCTAATAGGAGTATTTTCAGTTCATTTTGGCTTTTTGGATCATAAACAGGCGATGAGAGAGTCAGTGAAAGCTCTATGTGAGACTGATCAGTATAGATCTTCCAGTATCTTTCAACTGACTAAGTTTTGCTGCTTTAACAAACCAGGATTTAAAATATGTGAAAACTCTTTGTGCACGTCGTTTCAACGCAGAACATAAAAATGTCCCTTCATTCATTCTTCACTCAAATCACATTCCCATTACCTCACAAACACACGGCACATATCCGCACAAACATGGATGTGCTTCTTGGTATGTCTATGAGAGCATGTTTGGAGGGTGTGGAGCTGGAGGAGTAATTTATAGAACATTTAACTCACCCCTTCCTCTTCTCTGTAAGGGTTCAGTTTGTTGTACACCGCCTCTATAACACTGCGTCTGCAAACAGAAAAACAAGCAAACACACATATTGGTCCTTGGGGAGAACATCTCCCTAAATAATGCAGTCTCTGTTCGTTCTACACTAATGTTTATTGACTGAGATTTTAATGGAAGTAAAACTCTTAGTTGATGATGCGAGCAAAATAACAGAGCAGCATCTCTTGGGCCTGTGTTCTAAAGATTATCGTGTTCTCAGTTGGTTCTGCATTAAATGTCAAATGTCAACTTGATTTTCACTTTTTAGTAAAATTATCCTAAAAATTTTATATTTGTTAAAGACATTAGAGAAATACAGTTGCAAACCCTGCAGTTTTAAAGTTTGAGGTAACACCGCAGACATGATATAGAAGGTAGATGAGTAGATGAGACCAAAATTTAACTTTTTGCCATCAAGTAATAAGTGTGGAAGATACTAAAACCATAACCCAGCCCTACCCTGGTAAGGATACCCATCATGCAGTGGGAGTCTTGCTCAAATAGAGACAGGGAAGTAGGTCAAAGTTGATCGAAGAAGGATCTGTCCTAATACAGGGCAAATAGGAACTGAACTAGGTTGAGGGCACAAAAGCCTTAAGCCTTGAGAGCAGAGGTTCAGTTGGATGGAAACACCCTCAAAAAGGCGTCATATTCACAGATCAAGTGCACCAAACCACACCTTCAAAACACATCTATCTGCAGCGCGTCCAGATGGTAATCTGGAAGAACTGACTGCACTGACTGTGTTTTTCAGGTCCAATAGTGGACAACGGACCGTCTTTTTTGATTGGTTGAAGTTCTTCATTGATTTCTCACTGTAGTGGGAACCATTTATTTTAGTTTCACTTCTAGACGTTCTATTTCACTGCTTGCTAAGCAGCTGTGGGGAGATCTTTAAGTCACGTGGTAAACAATGCGTTAGAAAAGATCTCCCTACTGCTCCTTTAAGAAACGACTAATATATAAACTTTTATGATTCTTTTTCTTTAAAGATTTATAATGGAGATCAAAACGAGGAACCGGAATCTTTCATATAAAAACCGAGAAGCACCATAATGGTCTATAAAACCCTAGAAAAGATTAATAATCAACATTAGTACAAGTAAATCTATAGTAGGTGTTTTAAAAGACTGAATCAAGATATGTTTTAGTTCATTAACATATTAATGAACTAAAACATAAAATGCAGAAAGTCAATACTGTTAATATGTTGTGTCTATAACATGCAGTTCAGTAATACTTACTTGCTGGCCAGGCCTCCACCAGGCGGGAGGTTAGGGATGTTTTCTGAGGCAATATTTCTTAGGACAGACACCAGGTCAGGGACTCCATCCTCTCCACAGTTTCCCAGGAGCTCTGCAATAAATAAAGCAACACAGACACAAAACAACTACTTATAACTGAGGTCAATAACAAAGACAATTTAGCAACCAACATTTCTGCACAGAGACTGGAATCAAAATAAGAAGGGATATAAGATACAATCAGAAACAATTATCATGGGTGTAAAACCATTTTTTAATCAATGATAAAATATTTCTGTGGATGTTTTCAAGGTTTTTTATTTGCCATTTGTGCTAAACCAGCAATCAGACACATTGAAATTATTGTGCAAAAGCCCTAAGAATCAGAGCTTCAAAAATAAGTAGGGCTGGGTAAAAAAATTTATTTAATTGATTTTTTATCGATTCCTTTACATTTTTGCAAAATCAATGATGTCTAGGGAATGAGATCGATTAGATTTATAGTGACGTGCGTGACGTTCACATTCGAATGAGCAGGAAAGATGCACTCAAGATTACTTTAAGCCAGACAGCTGCAAATATAGCTAATAGGGTGACTGAAGAAATTAACAAATGGAGACTGACCAGCAAACACCTTGTAGTTGTTACAGACAACGCTGCAAATATGGTTTGTGCATTGAAGATAATGCAGTTCATGCATGTCTGCTGTGTCACGTCTGCATGCTCAAATGAGGCCTTTTCACTTTTCACAAACAAGTTTGCACTTTTGAGACAGTTTTGTTCACATCTCAAGTTTAAACTGTCCGATTTACAAGTTTGCACTTTGTGTTTAATGTGACAGGAAAAAATAAAATACATGAGTATTTGGAAACACAGTTGAACCACTTTCATTATTGTAAAAACAGATTGAATCGAAATTAATCGATTTAGAACTGTATGAATCAAAATCGAATCGATTCAGGAATTTGGTGAAAATACCCAGCCCTAAAAATAAGATATGAAATCCAAAGAGAAGAACAAAACTATACAAGCAAAACAAGGCTTAAAAAACAAAGTAAAGAATTAAAATGTGTGTGCTTAAGCCTGTTGAAAATGCTGACCCTCAACGCGCGTTTCTAGATATTTATCTAATTCCTCCTCTTTTTTCATGGCCTCCTCTGAGATCTTGGGAGCTCCAGGCAAACACACCAGCACCACGCTCATGTTGTCTCTGCTCCCCTGCAGAAGGAAAAGTACAGACAGGAGACATCTCAGCTTCATTGAGTCATGGTTGCAAACGGGAAAAACTTTCATAATCAGGTTTCGATTCACTTAAAAGAATTTACTTTAAAACCTCTGAATACAAATCATGATTTCTCAGGGCTTATATAATAGAAATAAAAACATAGGAAAGATGCTGCTCTAAATTCTGTTCTGCAGTGTTACTCTTGTTTTGTCTTGATTTACAGACAACATAGTTCTCTTCTTAACAGTTGCATGCAGTGGCAACACCTCCCTGAAAGCTTATATTTAATCCGTGCCAAGCTGTGGCATGTTTTGTCTGCTACAACTAAAAATTACACGCAAAATGAAGGTGGCTGTTCTGCTGTTTGCAAGTGCTATGAATTACTGCAACAAAGTTGCTTTGGATTTAACAATTAGTTAGATTTACTTTATTAATGAGCAAAAGACCTTTGCTTCCTTAATGCAAACACAGTACTGATGGTTTTAGATCACTTCCATCGACCTAATGAAAAACTGCAAAGACATGAGAAGCAAAAGGACTAGCAAGCTAACCGAAGAGCAAATATCAGCTTTTTATGGGTAGATACAGATTTTTTTTTCAATTTATTTTTAGGTCAGACCTATCCTTTGGTTTTTAATAGATATTTTTTAATCAGTTTTAGATTAAACGTAGTAGTTTTGACTCAAACAAAATAAAAATGTGTCCAGATTAGCCCTAATTCCGCTAATGAGTATCCAGCAGGGCTCTGGCAAACAATTATTTTAGTAATTAAAATTCTCATAATTAATAGAGTAATTGGACACAATTAGTTCCATTTAAATTCAACAGAGCTCTTCTAAATTACTTAGCGGCCAAGTTCTTGGTTCTTCTTATTTTTTGTCCCAAAAACAGACATAAAACAATTTTATCAAAAAGGTAAAATGCTCATTAGTTGATAATATATAATTTAGGCTAAATTAAACTATCCTCTTAGATGCATCCTTCTCTGCTTTGACCTAATGGTACGATCCCCCAGTGCTGACCAATCAAAACAAAGTTCTGCTGACAGCAAAGGGCCACGCAGCGGGGAAGTATCGATCAGCGCTGAGAGCAGAACTGTTGCGGCTGAAGGTCAGACGATGTCAGCGTCTCATTTTCTTTTTTAAGTTTATAGTAACACCTCTTTCTCTCCGCTTCCTTTCACCCTTTTTGCTCTTGCTACATTGTTGATAACCAAACTTTGCATCCATGCATCAGCAGGGATGTAATGTTAAAAAAAAAGCCTTCTAGTAATTGAGTAATTGAGATCCTCGATGATTTTAAGGAATCATCACAGACCTGGTCTCCAGAGGTTTTAGTTTCAATACAAATAAATCTGGATGTCCCCTAAGGGTTAGAGGGTATCTTGATCTTATCTATGATTGAACAGGAGATGGATTGAGAGACTGGGGCTTCATCCACAGTTTGCTGGGATGGAGAAAGAGCTGAACCAAGAAGCAAAGCTCTGAATTTACTAGTCCTACGTTCCAACCCCAACCTATGGTCCTGGTACATGACTCAAGACCAAAAGATCGCGATTCTAGACACTAAGCAGCAGAATTAACTTCCTCCTGAGGGTGGCTGGAGTCAGCGTTGGAGATCAGATGAGGATCTCATAGTAGAGCCCCTGCTTAACTGTATCGTAAAGAGTCAGTTTGGTTTGTTCAGGCATCCTTTCAGAATGCCTAAATTAATTGGAAATGTTAGTGAGGAGGATGAATGGGATTCAGCCCTGGATCTGTCATTCTGTAGCCTCGTATAATTAGAAGAGGATGGATAGATGTATTCGCTACCCATGTTCTACAGTTTTCATTTAAACTTGATAAAAGAGTATAGAAAAAGCTAAACCTAAACTGGAGACTAGAAATCCTCAATGTAAGGAACAGCATTTTGTTATAATGCAGTGGTCCCACAGTGGATATACTGCAGTGGAAATTTATTGATACAAATTTTAAATTCTGTTACACACACCAAACAACAGTTAAACTATAAATAATTACAATTAAAGGTCACAGTTTTGTCATTTAAAGGCGATTGTAGTTTAATCAATTACAATATGTAATTTACCGCAGTCCAATTTACTTTTTTAAATGATCAAACAGGTTCGGCGGGAGTAATGGATAATTTTCTGCGGGTCTCCAATTAACATAGATAAAAAAATAGCAACAGCAGAGCTGATTTATGCCTGTAACCAATCCAGTAAGGTTAAAATAACTGGTCTGCTGTACACTTGTTGGTTCTTAGAGAGCCCAAAAAAACTCGTGGGCAGGCAGTAAAGGTTTAAAATGTGGAACAGTGAATGGTCTCTCAGGGATTTAAAACACTCCCAGTGGATATTAGCATCAGATTTTGAAATGTACCTTTAATCTTTCATTAGAAATGGATCTGGACTTTGACTAGGCCATTCCAATAGGTATATAAGCTTCCATCTAAACATTTTATGCTCTTTGTTCTGCAAAGGGGTGCACCTCTTTTTCAGCCTTTGCCAGGTTTAAATTCAACAAGCATTTTTGAATTAAGTGTAGTACTGAATGAATGGCTCAATATGATTTTTTTCTTATTAAATGCTATTAATTTATTTTTTCCCCCCACTTTTTTTCCATTTCAAAATCAAGGTCTGATTTTAATCTACCCCTCAGGAAGGTGACCTTAATTTAAAGGACAACAAAATTCAAGCAGTGAAACATGATTATTTTAAAAGGAATAAAGGTATAAAACATTAAATGTTTGCAGACAGAGGTAGCCATATTCATTCCTCCTTTTTTAATCAACTTCAGAGGAATCACTCAACTCTCAAATTTGGTTTATTATTAAAAAACAAATCCACATTCTTCTCATTTAACTTCAAAATGACCAATTTTGGCCACATGGGTTAAAAAAAACATGAACAAAGTTCTTTGAAATGGTCCAACCTTAAGACAGACCCTAACGTTACTTTAATAATTCTCTACAGCTTCATGTCATGTGTTTCCTCTTTGTCATGATGTCATTTCCTTATAAAGAAAGATTCTGACTTTCTGCAAATTGACTTTAATTATAAGGTGGGAGAAAACTGATTAGAAATGCAAGCCGGACTAAAACCTTCATCTCAAGTCACAGTTATCTTGTTCTCCGTATTGCTCTGTCACATAAAATCTCAAGAAAATATATTGTAGTTTTCTGGTTGTGATAAATATTGGTTCAAGAAAAATGTACTTAGATCAATATAGAAGTTAAAAAGGGCTTACCTTATGAAGACAAGTGTCCACCACTGAGTTACAGATCTTTTCCAGATCTTCACAAACCAATAATCGTGATCGTACAAAATCGCACAGCTCTTCATTGGACATGACATCCCAGATTCCATCACACGCCAAAACCACAAACTCGTCTCCTTCGGCGGCCCGCTCCAACACACAAACCTCGGGCTCTGGGCTCACCAGCTGCTCTGTGGGGCCCTTACCATCCACACATTTGTAGTCGTAGTCCCCGAGAGCCCGTGACACAGCCAGGGAGCCGTTGACCCTCTGGATCATCACTGATCCACCGGCATTCTGGATGCGCTCCTTTTCACGGGGGTTGCAGGGCTTGTGGTCCTGAGTGGAGAAGCCCACCTTTCCATCTCGAGACAGTACAGCCCGTGAGTCGCCGCAGTTAATGAAGTAGAGGTGGGTGGGGCTGAGCAACACGCATACGGCTGTCGACCCGCTGCGGTCCAGGCCCTGCCGCAGGTCGGAGAAACTGCGCATGTACTCGTCAATGTTCAGAAAGCCCGAGCGAATCCCATCCTTCACACCCTCCACAGAGCCCGCCCCCGAGCCGAACTCTGCTCCTCCTGACAAGATGTGCTCCAGAAGATGCCCAGAGCAGTAGTTGGCGACCCGAGAGCCGGCGTGACCATCGTAGACAGCAAAGAAGGACCAGTCGGTGAGTCCATGGGGGAGGCCCACCACCGCCGTATGGGCGTCCTCCATTTCCACCCGCCAGCCCTGCATGGAGCTCAGGCCGTAGCGCAGCCCATTTCCCTCCCCGTGGGCGCTGTGTTTCTCCGTTTTCGGCTTGTCCAGGAATGCACCCATCTCTGACTAAACTGGAGATTAAAAAAAAAAGAGAAAAAAGGGTGATTAAAACATTTAAACAATCACCAGCCAAGTTGTTATCATTTACATCTCAGCCAGTTTTACCATGCTATGGTTGCATACTGTCTAAAAGAAACAAAAACTTGATTCCCAACAAAGAAAATAAGTGAGAATTAACACCAACGGTGCTTAGTGCTTAATATGGAAGAATGAGAAAATATTTGGCTTTAATTTCCTAAGGACTGGAAAAAGTGGATAATTAATGGGAGGAAATATATAAGCTAATTACCACAAATTGACAACAGCAATTTATCTCTTCACAAAATAATTTTGTGATATTTTTTTTTTTATCCCAAGCAGTCAAACATATAGTGACTGTCTCTAGTGGGGAGTGACGGCCTAGTGGTTAGGGCATAGAGCTTGGAATCCTGAGATTCTGGGTTTGAGACCCACTCCCACAGACTGCCTCCCACAGTCTTGAACAAAGACCCTTAACCCCACACTGCTCCCTGTGTGCTGCATAATGGCAGCCCACTGCTCCCTAAGGAGATGGGTTAAATACAGAGGTAAATTTCTCCAAGGTGAGATCAATAAAGTTGAATTGTTTCCAATACTTCTACACGGAGGTCTAAAAATATGATGAGTAAGTAATGATTCAAGAGATACTAGTCTATTACAAGTTCAAACTGGATAACAATTACACAAATAAATAGTCTAGGTAATTTTTGCTAAGAGACACAATCAGTATGTCTGTTCAGCAGCAGAGTGCAGGCTAGCCAATCCACCCCCCAGTTGGTCTCTATAATAAGTATAATGATTAAAAGTGATGATACTCTATGCATGCTTTTTTATTATTTTTCTCCAAAGGCAATACACCTGCTTTGTGGTATTTGATGAATGCTATTTAGCCACCTTACATCTTAAACACATTAGAGGTAAACAGATAAATCGTCCGGACAATATTTCTAGCTCCCCAGCCCCCCTTGTATTCACCTTGTATTCAGCATTTGTTTGATTGGTTAATTAAATTTATTTTTTGATATATTTATGATAATGTCATTTTTATATGTAAAATGGAGGAAGAAACAGCAATATCTGCTAAAGAATATCTGCAGCACATATTGGGGATTAGTATCGGCCTAGAAAAATCTAATTTATGGAGGGTCAAGAGTAGAAACACTGATGTCTGATTGGATGTTTCTTACTCGGCAAGATAAGACAAGATATTCTTCCTAAATGTTTTTACTCAGTCAATATTATCACTGGAAAAAGGGCAGATTTGATTTCAAAGTGGTGCTGTAATTTATTTAAAGCATCGTGGTAAAAACGTTACCCTTTTTATTCCTCGTTAGGTCGGAAATACATCTAATAAGCTTATCAGAGAGCTTGCAGACATCAGCAGAATCAAAGTCACCCCTTGCTCACACTGGCTCCGGTGCGGTTACCGAGCAGACGGAGACCGCAATTCCCGCACACCCCCTCTCACACCACCCTTTTGACTACGGTGCGGTGCGGCTCTGCAGCTCCGGCAACAGGTCCGGAGATTTAACAGAAGTTCACTTGAGTTCACGTAACTTCACGCGATAACACGGCCTAAATAAGGATATTTGCGAGAGCTTGTTGCGGAGGGCTCCGGCATGCCGCAAGGATAGCTTTCTTGCGGAATTTTCTGCAGCGCCGGAGTGTCTCGGTAACTGCAGCCGGACAGCTCAGCAGCCGGTGAGAGAGGTTTACGTCTTTTTAATGACTTGGAATCACTGCGGCGCCGCACCCACTGCACCACAACGGTAAGAACGGAGTCGGTGTGAGCCTGGGGTTAGCTCCGCCCACTGAATAGTGGTCAGGTTCTCTCCTTAACTTAGTAGAAAACCACCTAGGCATCTAGAGGTTGGGGTGGTTCTCCCAATGTGCTTTAAATTAATGGAAACAAATTTTTAAAACCATTTACAACTTTCCACGGAGAACGTTGACTGTAGGAAAACCTGGAAGAATGTGTTTTATCTTTCTCAGAGAGAAGCAGCCAATTAGATATCAGAGTTTCTTTGGAAGCGGCCTCCAGTCCCGCCCACTGAGTTTGATAGGTATAGTTGACTGGAGGGATGAACCAATGGCAGGTTTCTGGCAGATCACTTTCAGATTTTTAAAAAGCCTGACATGCTGATTCCGATTTTGACAGATACATATTTATAAAAAAATTTTTATAACCGATTATCAGTTGATATAAGACTACAAGACACCTTCAAAATGTATATCTTATCTTACAGAAAGACATTAATTAGTACTCATGAAACGATAAAAACTTGTGAAACAAGTTCTTAATCATAAATCAACATTTAGAGCATTGATAGTGGGTGCTTTTCAGACCTCTGTAGAGGTAGATAAGATCAGTGGAAAGGATTGGTTTCCAAATTAGGTATTGGCAGATCACTGATCTCTCAAAATGAAGGAAATCGAGGGCGATAAGTCAGTCGGCCGATCAATCGGTGCACCTAATTGCAGATTTAATAATTTAATATTAAATCTAATAATTTAATGAGACTTTTAATTATTAAATTGTACATTTATTTAAAAAATTGCATATTTCAATATTTCGTTAAGTTATTTATCTCATTATACATTTACACCTATTTCTTAAGTGTTATATTTATTCAATTGTTTCCCCCCTAAACCTCATACTAGTTTAGCTGTTTTTTTTTTTTATTTAATCGCTTAAAAATCAAAGTAGAACCTAAGAATCATGTTTTCTAACCTCTCCTTGTATGTTATCCATTTACATTTTTTGTTTTCTTTAAAAAATATATTAAAAAGGAAATTGAAGACAACTACATGAGGATTGTGTGTAAAAAATATCAGGTAAAAAAAAAAAGCAGACAGAGATCAGCCTGATTAAACACCCAATATATAAGTAATAAATTGTCAACAGCCCTCTCATAGTGCGATAAACCAAACACGCTCTGGGCGCTAAAGCATCTTATTTATGCAAATTTAATGGTGGACGGCATCAAGAAGGGTTGAGGGTTGGAGTGTTCCAGAGGTCAGATATCTATACCTTTGCAGCTTGACACAGAGCGTCAACCAATCAGAAAAGCTAACCCAGGAGTTTTCTGTGAGACAGAAACTACATTCGAGCAACGACTTATTTTGCAGTTGTCAGCATATGACAAATTAATAAATACAAAGGATTTCAAATACACAAGTTTGAAACGCCATCAGAATGGATTTTTTTATGTTGAAAAATAGAACTGATCATAATTACTCCACTAAAACATATATTTTTTTAAACTGTTGCAAAACAATTTATAAATACCTACATTAAATAAAAATGTTACAACCTACCAGCAAAAAAATGTTTTATTTTATATTCTGGTGCTTGCAGTTAAGCCAAAAATAATATAAATAAATAAAAATGTTTTATATTATATTTCTAGCTGCTATAAACGATAGCAGGAAAGCCAACAGTGTAGCCCGCTTCAGACAGGAGTCTCTCAGCACTGTCGAACCAAAAATGAAATGAATGTTTTGGTAGGAACAAACCGCATAGATGTTATGCTCAGGTGCACTGTCTCACTTTAAAACTGTTCAAAATATTAGTTTTTTGCAGCTCATCAATGTAAATAAAGCCAAGCTACTGTCTGGCTTACGATAGAACAGAGCAGCTCGACAACTAGATCGAGCATCCAGAGCGTTGAAGCATCAAAACGTCTTCACAGCTGTTTGACCCTACATCCAAGTTTTGCCATTTGTGTGTTTTTGATGCTCAAAACGTGTTTGGTCTGAAAACATCATTCCTGTCACTTCTTCTTTGTCACTGAGCAAGATAAGACAAGATTTTCTTCCTACGTGACTTATTCTTTAGCTTCTTGAAGGTAAAGAATAAGTCATGTATTTCTCCATTATTAAAGAATATTTCTGTAAATAATTTGGTACACAACAACAAGGTCTAGCGATTATTGTAAATGTAGGAGATAAAGACAACAACAGCTTCTAATATTTAGAGAAAATATAGAACTTTAAAGTGCATGAATATCTGCAAAATGTAAAATAATTTATGCTTGAAATCAGTCATGTAATAGACTGTCACCAAATTAATTATAAAGAGAGATAATTTAGCAGTAAAACTTTGAAATCACGAAATGCTCAGTTGTTCACAATTTAAAAAAAGAAAAAAACAAACATGCTATGTGTTTTATGCTTGTTAAAGTGTTGACAATTGTACACGACCCCATAAAATACTCCCAAAGCAGCACAAATTTGCATTGTTAGTAATTTTCATTTGCATAACTCCCTCCTATATTTGTAAAGAACATCCTAAAGTTCTTTTTGAATGTAGACTATGTTGGTTTCAGTTCTACGTCAGAGTAATCACAAAGTCACAAGAAATCTTCCTGTTGTAGACTTTAATGTCAGGTATTAGTTTTATATCTTTATTTCAATAAGGAAAAAGAAAAATGATTTTACAAAAGCCCTCTGAACTATTAATTGAGTCTGCTTCATGTTTGATAAAGAAGAAATTAAGTAAGTAATTATATAGGAGCTAACTAATGTGTTAAAAACTTTATGAGAAATCATTATCAAATTGAGGAAGATGAGGATCAACTATTTGAATATCGTTGTTGATCCAGAGCTTCATTACACAAAAAGAACCTTAGAAAATCTCATTTAAAATATGAATCAAACTTCTGGTCGTTTTTGAACTTTGCCTGTGCATGAACAGGCAGTAAAACAAATCTAACAAGTTCAGACTGAATGACAATTAAATATCTGAAGGTTTATGAAGGTACAAAATGTCTACAGATAATCTCAGGGAAACCATTTTGTATTTTTTCTGTGGATTCAGACCCTTGCCTAAGAGATTGGATTGGAAACAGAAACTCTAGGCCTAACTTGATGGAGGACAAATGATCTCAGAGAACTAAGGCTGAATCCAGTTTTTCTTCTTCTAATACTGATCTTTGCCTAAAGCATACTCATGCACTATGTTGAAAATATATATCAGCTATCATTAGAAATA